CATTGCAGGCAGATACTTACCATCTGAGCCACCAGGGAAAGTGGAATTACTCTATACTCAGTTTAGTTCAGTCGCTCAGTTGTGTCTGACTCTTTCCAACCCCATGGACTGCAGCATGCCAGGTCTCCCTGTCCATCACCAACTCCTGGAGTTTACTCAAACTCGTGTCCATTGAGTCAGTCATGCCATCCAAACATCTCGTCATCTATTGTCCCCTTCTCCTCCAGCCTTCAATCTTTCCCAGCATTAGGGTCTTTTACAATGAGTCGGTTCTTCCCATTAGGTGGCCAAAGTATTGGAGTTTCAGCATCGACATCAGTCCTTCCAATGAATATTCAGGACTGATTTCCTTTAGGATGGACTGGTTGGATCTCCTTGCAGTCCAAGGGACTCTCAAGAGTCTTCTACAACACTACAGTTCAAAAGCATCAATTCTTTGGCGTACAGCTTTCTTTATAGTCCAACACTCACATCCATACATAACTGCTGGAAAAACCATAGCCTTGACTAGATGGACCTTTATTGGTAAAGTAATGTCTCTGCTTTTTAATATGCTGTCTAGGTTGATCATATCTTTTCTTCCAAGGAGCAAGCATGTTTTGATTTCATGGCTGCAGTCACCATCTGCAGTGATTTTGGAGCTCAAAAAAATAAAGTCTGTCACTATTTCCCTATCTATTTGCCATGAAGTGACCGGACTGGATGCCATGGTCTTCGTTTTCTGAATGTTGAGTTTTAAACCAACTTTTTCACTCTCCTCTTTCCCTTTCATCAAGAGGCTCTTTAGCTCTTCTTCACTTTCTGCCATCAGGGTGGTGTCATCTGTGTATCTGAGGTTATTGATATTTCTCTGGCAATCTTGATTCCAGCTCGTGCTTCATCCAGCCTTAACATGATTACGGCTGCAGACATTAAAGTTAATGAATTCTTTTGTCATAATGAATTCCCACATGTGTATAGATTGTCTTCAAGAAATTTCTGATTTAGATAGTGTTTGCCTTTTTGCCATCTGGCATGATTATCTTTAGTCATTATCTAGAAAAAAGAAGGCAAACTACTGAAGTTCACTGGAAACAATAAAGATTGTTATCATGGAATGTAGATCTTATTTGTTCTGTTTTTGTGGTCGTAGTTTCTAATACATTACTCAGGGCAAAGTTTCTTTCTCAGTCATGTTTGCTCTGTGCAAACATGGTTTGCAATATGTCTTCTGTTATGCCAGGAATTTTGTTTTCATTTCTGCTAGGTAGTCTCAGTTTTCTCAAGAAGATATACATAATTAATTATTAGCATCCAGAAGAATAGTCATGTTGTTTGCTGCCCTCAGAAGTGAAACAACATACCATTCTGATGTCTAGGGATTTAGTCCAAAAGGTTTTTTAAGAAGTAAGGCACGTAATAGGAAGGAAGAAAACCAGGCTTGAACCTCCAGTTTATGAGAATGCTTTTAGGGAATTAGAATTATAAATGGTCTGGAAACCTAATATATAGCTAAGCTTTTGAACTACGTGAAAAAGACTCAATAGAAGTCATTTGAAAGTTAGAACCTGCACTTATACCTTGGACACACTGTCCTTTCTTGGCCCTGCAGGAGAACCCTAAGGTAAAAATTCTTTGAAGCAGATATGTTATCTCACCTTTTTAATAAGAATATATTAAAGCTAGCATGTCACTGTCAAGTTTTAGACATAACTGACCTGTGTATAAATTTCTCCAAAATGTACCTCTATTAATATGTCTCTGTTATAGTTTGAAACAATGAAATAGAGAGCAGGGATTATTACATTGTTAAATATTCAACTTACTGTTTTTCTGAGTACTTTTTGGGAAGCTCCTGGTTGGGAGGAATCACACTGATGTGTCATTCTTTTTTTTTTTTTTTTGATGTGTCATTCTTAAAACTGCCATATATATTTAAATTTTTCAGGGGTTTTAAGATTTAAGTTTACATATTCATCGTTTTCCTTTTTAAGTTTATTTGGCTGTGTTGAGTGTTAGTTGTGGCATGCAGAATCTTCACTGCATCACACAACATCTTTCATTGCAGAGCACGAACTCTCTGGCTGTGGCGTGGGCTCAGCAGTCACCGAACGTGGGCCTCGTTGCTCCACAGCATATGGGATCTTAGTTCTTTGACCAGGGATTGAACTCACCTCCCTGCATTGGAAGGCAGATTCTTAACCACTGGACCACCAGGGAAGTACCAATATTCATTGATTAAAAAAAAAAATTCATAAAGAGTAGTGGTAGCTCAGCTAGTAAGGAGTCCGCCTGCAATACAGGATACCCTGGTTTGATTCCTGGGTGGGAAAGATTGCCCTCAAAATGAGATAGGCTACCCACTCCAGTATTCATGGGCTTTCCTGCTGGCTCGGATGGTAAAGAATCTGCCTGCCATGCGGGAGATCTGGGTTTGATCCCTGGGTTGGGAAGATGCCCTGTCGAAGGGCATGGCAACCCACTCCAGTATTCTGGCCTGGAGAATCTCCATGGGCAGAGGGGCCTGGTGGGCTACAGTGCGTGCGGTGGCCAAGAGTCCGACATGACTGAGCAACTAAGAATGGTGCACAGCAATGCAATATGAGCCCAGTCATAGGACTTGAACTCAGCCCAGTGTTCCCGATTCCTAAGTCCTAGTGTTTGTTTTTGTTTTCTTAACAGTTGAATTGGCACGTTAAGTGTATCTTGGAAAATTTGGCTAACAATGTATGGAAGTTTGTAGTTATTAAACATCAAGGAATATCAAGAGATATCCAGATGGCATTTTTGTTTACATGGCATAAGGTATGGCAAACCTGTTAGACTGAGGAATTGTTTCAGACCAGACATTCGAAAATTCATGTAAAAAGACTGGCTAATGACACCAATACATGAGTTAGTGCCTTATAAAGCGAAAGAACAAGCCTGTGTCAGTACTCATAATAATGAGCCTTATTCTCAGAATATTAGTATTTTGATTACTATTTTTGTAGGCAGATTTTCAAGGGCATAACATTCAGAAGTTTGCTGCTTCTTCACATACATTTATATGCTTCTGAGACTTTTAGCTTCAACCCAGCATTTTTTTTTTCCCATTTTTAACTTACAAGTTTTATTTCGAGCTAAAGAAAAGTCCGTTGAGGCTTCTTTTACAAATACATTACTGTATATAATTTTGCTTCAACTCTAGGAGTTAGTTCCTGACATTTTACTTTGTATCTTTATTAAAAGTTGTATCTTTAGCAGGTGAACTATGCCTTCCATTCTGTAGATTCCTTTTTCACAAAAACATCCCTTTCTGGTTACTTTAACTTTAAAATACAATTTTACCAGGCTTAATAGGCTAATCAGTGTCCTGAGCAGCAATTTTAATGCTTTTTAATTTTTAATGGCAGTCTCTAAAGCCTTTAAAGCTTTCTATTCTGTTTATGTAGCACATTGTGCATGTCTCTTCAGTCGCGTCTACTCTCTGCAACCCTGTGGACTGAGGCTCGCCAGGCTCCTCTGTCCATGGGACTCTCCAGGCAAGAATACTGGAGTGGGTTGCCATGCCCTCCTCCAGGGGATCTTCCCCACCCAGGGATCGACGTAGCACTTTACTGAGGTCTAATTAGGTCGGTTGGTATTCTGAGCACTAGGGAAAAAAGAGATAAACTTCCCTGCCCTCATGGAGGTTGCATTCTTCTGAAAACACGAAGCAGAAATTAAAAAGAAAGTGGCTTGGAAAGGTTCCAGCAACGCCATGGGGTCCCCTGGTGCGGACTGGGGTCCAGGCAGAGGACAGAGAGGCTGTGGGGTCTGCTCTGCTCCAGGTAGCGGGGGGTGGGGGGCGTGCACTAGACTGGATAGGCAGGGGTATCCTCTCAGAGGGGGACCATCCTGCTACTGTCCACGTGCATTAGAATCTAAAGGACCCACGACCAACCATGTAACACTGGGAGCTTTTGCACTGAAGGGAATGGCTGCTAGTGGAGCAAAGCCACGCATGGTCATGGTGGGGCCAGACCCAGAGTGGGCACAGTCTAATCGAACAAGCCTCTTGGGCTTCAGTATCTGGAGCAAGAGACCTCCCCAGGGAGACTTCTCATCCCAGTCCTGCCAGGTTCATGACTACTGGGGCGTCTCTGCTTCACTTCCCTCATATAATATCCCAGCCTGTCTCTTAGGTTCATTCTGCATTTTTGTATCCATTCATCAGTTCTGTTTGGTTTGTTTGTTTTTGAGCCTCATGGTTTGTAATACTATTGTTTGTAAGGTCAGTGTTCATGTAAACTGATAATGTAGGTATAATAGTAAGGCTCCAATGGGCTTCCTGGGTGAGACTGGAAAGGCTTTACAGAGGAGGCGGCATTCGAGGTATGGCTTGGAAGGAGAGAAGCAGGGAAGAAAGACTCTTGTCCATGGTATCCTGGAAGGGTAAAGGAGTGTGGTGTGTCCATGCAGTGGGGAGAAATTTTGTATAAAAGAAGCAGGAGATAGTTTGGGAGAGGAGTGTTGGAAAAGGTGCCTTGAAATCAGATACAGTGTCTCCAACCTATTTTGTATGTATTGGGTTGGCCAAAAGGTTGGTTCAGCTTTTTGTGTGTGATGTAACAGCAAAACCCAAACAAACTTTTTGGCCAGCCCAATAGAAACACAGCAGGTCATAGGCGACCTCCTCATGTTCCTCATTTTAAAATCTCTTATAGTAACTGCTATTCATTTTTCTATTTAATGATTCCAATACTGACGATTATATCTTCTTTCACCTGCGTGTCTTCAGATAATCTCCTTCTATCCATCACCTGATTTTATCCTAACAATAAGCAACACAGATCTGAAAATGCTATCCTAAATATTGAAAGGTAAGGAAACTGAGGTGTGGAGAGACCCCATGATTTTCTCACAGTCACTTGGCTATGCTTGAATGGATGCCAGATCTTCTGATTTTCAATTCCACGTGCTTAGTGATTTCACTGGTGTGTAGGTATGCATTTTGTCCTTTTCCCGCGTGAATTACTGCATTTTCCTTTTCTCTGTAGGACTTGGCTTTTACCCTGGAAGAGAGGCAGCAGCTGAACATTCATGGCCTGTTGCCGCCCTCCTTCATCAGCCAGGATGTCCAGGTCCTTCGAGTACTTAAGAGTTTTGAGCGTCTGAGCTCTGACTTTGACAGGTAACATGTTCCAGAAGCTGACTTTTTATATTTCTCAGAGGCAGCTGTCTAGTTTATGTCTTATTATATGAGCAAGTTTAAATGTTTAGTGATTTGGAAAGAGTAGTCAGCTCTGAGGAAGATTTGCCTGTAAATACAATGATGTTTGTAAAAAATTTACCCTGTGTAGGAACATCTGAAGGAGATACAATTTTCTTTTCTAAACTATATCCACAGAGAAATGACTTTTTCCTCCTGTGACAGAGTTGTTGCTGTCAAGGTCAGTTATGGGGAAATGCCATTCCAGACCAGGTGAAAGTGGCTTTGAGTCAGACCTCAAGTACATTGTAGGTGAAAGAGCACCGTGTAGGTTTCCAAGTGTGGCTCCAGCACTGTCGGGAGTTTAGGTCACTTACTTTGTTTGCGGTCCAGTTTCCATGTTTACACAAGGGTAAAGGTCACATTATTCCTTGCCTTTGGAATCAGCTGGCTGAAGTTGAAATTCCAGATGTATCTCACTAGCATTGGATCCTTGAGTAAACCGTTACAACCACTGCCATGACCGCTGCGTCTGTCTCACTGTTTTCTTTGGACTCTTTTTGTGTTAAAATGTTGCATGTGTGCGTGCTAAGTGGTTTCAGCTTTGTTCAACTCTGCAACACCGTGGACTGTAGCCCACCAGGCTCCTCTGAACATGGGATTCTCCAGGCAAGAACAGTGGAATGGGTTGCCATCTCTCCTCCGGGGGATCTTCCCGACCCAGGGATAGAATCTGCATCTCCTGTGGCTCTTGCACTGCAGGTGGATTCTTTACCACTTCAACCACTAGGGAAGCCCCATAAGGTGTTAAACCCACCTAAACCTCAGTTTTCCTGTCTCTGGGTTGAAGAGAATAATAGTTATTTGAAAATATTATTGTGAAGGTTAGAAGAGAGAGTTAACCCAGTATCTAGTAAGTCTTCATAATAGGGTTCTCCAGAGATAGAGAACCAACAGGATGTGTGTGTGTGTGTAATTATGTACATAATGAGAGGGGGAAGGGGTTTATTGGTTGATTTTGATTGTAAAGAATGAGCTCAAGTGATTATGGAGGCTTGGTCAGTCCTAAATCTGCAGATAGACTGGCCAGCTGGAGCCCCAGGGAAGAATCTGATTCAAGTTCAAAGGCTTGAATTATTTTTTTTGCTGAGGAGTTAGAGGGAAGGGCAGTCTTTGTTCCATTAGGGTTTTTAAATGATTGGATGAGGCTCACCAACATTATGGAGGGTACTCTGCTTTATTCAAAGTACACCAATTTAGATTTGAGTCTCATCGAAAAACTACCTTCACAGAAAAGTCCAGAATAGTGGACCAAATATCTGGATACTGTGTTCTAGCCACGTTGCCATATAAAATTAACCTCTCCTTTTCAGCTCGGAAGCTGTGCCTGTCTCCTTAAACTGAACTTAATCTCTGCAATAAAGACAATAAAAAGGTCCTACTTGAGCCTAACATGATAGAACTAGCCCAGGAAAAACTGGAAACATGCTAACACTTAACGTAAAAGAGGATGTAAAGCCCTAGGGTGATGTTTACTTTTCTCCTTTATATCTTTTAACTTTAATACTATGATGTAAAGTTAACAATACATTTGACCCTTGAATCACATAGATTTGAATTATATGGGTCCACCTATATGTGGATTTTTCTCAATAAATGCATACTACAGTACTTACACAATCCATAGTTGATTGAATCCTTGAATGGGAACTACACATGTAGAGGGCCAACTGTAAGGTATATATCTGGATTTTTGACTGTGTTAGGGTTGGCACCCTTAACCCCCACATTGTTCAAGTGTCACTGTATTCAAATACTGTGATATACAGTCAGTACATCTTATGTAACATGATAACGGGATAGAGGGAAAATTATATTTGTTTATATATCTTTGCATCTGTATTATATATATTTATATATGCACATATATGTATATATATTTATGTACACACAAAAATATTCATAACACAGTAAGGAAGAAATACTCATAATAATTGCATCCTCATTTCTGTAACTGGTCACATTATCATAGCTGATATTTATAACTATCTTCTTCCCCTACCCATTTCACATTTCCCTTGCTTTCAGCAAGTACTTCAGCCAGTCTTGATTCTTCACCTGGTAGAGGAAGCCAAATTCTTAATTCTGAAGGGCCTGGGCCATTAGTAGTCCTGTTGGAATTGGGTGTTGTGGTTTTCCATTGACTTTAATCGCGGGGATTAAAGGGATCTCCTGTATTCCAGACATCCTTTTCCTTACCTCCATTATGGAGTGGTAGTCCAGTTTCCCCTTAGAGTCAGGATTGGTCACCCTCGCCAGGACAGTAACTCCCTCTTTGCCTGTTAATTCAGAGAAATATGGTACCCAAAGTGGCCAGTGGAGTCTTAACTTCCAGTTCATTGGAATCATTGTCTCCCAGTAAGACATTCTTCCCTTTGGAATGAACACTTCAGGGCCAGCGGAGCAAAACATCTCAGGGACAGGAAGCAGGAATTGATAGTGGATCACTTGGGGCTTCCCAGGTGACTCAGAAGTAAAGAATCTGCCTGCCAAGGTGGAGATGCAGGTTTGGTCCCTGGGTCAGGAAGATCTCCTGGAGGAGGGAATGATAGCCCCACCCAGTCCATAGGGTTGCAAAGAGTCAGACACGACTGAAATGATTAAGCATGCACGCATACTTGGGAATGACAGTGATGGTGCCACTTCTGTTTCTACCCCCCTTGATTCTGGGACCTCCGAATGCTGGCTGTGGAGAAATAGAACCGTATATTGGACACTGGTTCAGAGCAGGTAGAGCCTCCCAGAGAACCTTGCCCAGCTTTGCAGCGTGTTGCCCCCTAGCTGCTACTGTAACTGAATCTTCAGAAGGCCATTCCAGCATTCTGTCAAGCCAGCTGCTTTAGGATGTTGGGGAACAAGTGAGAACAGTGGGTTCGATTAGCAGGGCCCATTGCCTCACTTCATTTGCCCTGACGTGAGTTCCTTGGTCAGAAGCCATGCTGGGTGGAGTACCATGATGTTGAATGAGGCATCTTGTAGGTCCCTGGAGGGTAGTGTTGACAGGAGCGTTGTGTGCAGGAAAGGCACGTCTTCACACAGAGTGAGGGTCTATTCCGGTAAGAACCAATGCCCTTCCTTCATGATAGAACCTGCCCAGTGTCATCAGCGTGCACCCAGGGAGTTTGCTGATGACCGCACAGGGCGGTGGCACATCAGGGACTCAGTGTATCTCTGCTGCTGAAGGTTTGGGCCCTCAGCAGTGTCTGTGGCCAGCTCGGCCTTGGTGGGTGGAAGTCCATGTTGCTGAGCTCGTGGGCACCTTCATCCCTGCCATGACCACTTCTTTTATGAGCCTGTAGGTGGTAATGGGCTTCCCAGATGGCACAGTGGCAAAGAATTGGTCTGTGGGTTTGGTCCCTGGGGTCAGGAAGATCTCCTGGAGGAGGAAATGGCAACCCACTCCAGTACTCTTGGCCTGGAGAATTCTACTGACAGAGGAGTTGGTTGGGCTATATAGTCCATGTGGTCACAGTCAGACATGACTAAAGAGCGCGTGCGCATACACACAGGTGATAATGGGTCAGCTGAGGAAAGGCTGACTAGGTTATTCAACCATGTGTATTTGCTTCTTAAACTTTACCATTCCTTCCATGTGTTTCTAAAGTCCTTCCTTTATTCTCTTCCATTTTTACTTTACATTCTTTTCCTGGGCCATTTTATCACTTGCCTCCTCAGAGCTAGTGACTTTTGTAATTTTTTTTTCATTTATTTTTATTAGTTGGAGGCTAATTACTTTACAGTATTGTAGTGGTTTTTGTCATACACTGACATGAATCAGCCATGGATTTACATGTATTCCCCATCCCGGTCCCCCCTCCCACCTCCCTCTCCACCCGATTCCTCTGGGTCTTCCCAGTGCACCAGCCCCGAGCACTTTTGTATTTTTATCACAGAATGTCCCTCAGATACTTACTGAGCATCAACTTAGTGTCAGGTGCTCTTTTCAATACTGGAATTAGAGACAATGATCTCTGCCCTCATGAAACTTAGGTACATTATTTTTGAAAAGTAGTAAATGGTAAAATAATGAATAAATTATTTAATATGCTAGAAAGTGACAAATGCTCATGAAAAAAAGAGAAGGTGGAGTATGGTAAGAGGGACTGAGAATGCACGGGGGTGAGTAGGGTCACTTTGTGTTGTTTAGTTCCATGGTCACGATGGACTTCAGTGAGAAGGTGGTTTATGAGTGAGTAATGAAAGGCAGTGAGACAACTGTCTCATGAGGAAGCTAAGGAGCAGTGTTCTTTTAGCTGGTACATTCAGGAACCAACAGGGAGATGTGTGTCTGGAGCAGGATGAGTGAGTGGGAGAACGGTAGGTCAGGAGAGGAAGTTAGTGAGGTCATGGAGGACAGATTATTAAAGATGGATTATGGAGGCCATAGTTGTAAGACTTTTGCTGTTTCTCTGAGTGAAGGGGCTCATTCAAAGTTTTGAACAGAAGGTCAGCATGATCTGAGCTATATTTCTAGAAGACTTTGCAATGTTGAAGATAGAATATAAGATTACTTAGGAGACTTACAGGCAAAAGATGATGGTGACTTAGATCCTGGATGGTAGCAATGAAAGTCTGTAGATTTGGATAGATCTTGAAGCAAAATCACTGCAGATGGTGACTGCAGCCATGAAATTAAAAGATGCTTACTCCTTGGAAGAAAAGTTATGACCAACCTAGATAGCATATTAAAAAGCAGAGACATTACTTTGTCAACAAAGGTCTGTCTAGTCAAGGCTATGGTTTTTCCAATAGTCATGTATGGATGTGAGAGTTGGACTATAAAGAAAGCTGAGCACCGAAGAATTGATGCTTTTGAACTGTGGTGTTGGAGAAGACTCTTGAGAGTCCCTTGGACTGCAAGGAGATCCAACCAGTCCATCCTAAAGGAGATCAGTCCTGGGTGTTCATTGGAAGAACTGATGGTGAAGCTGAAACTCTAATACTTTGGCTACCTGATGCAAAGAGCTGACTCATTTGAAAAGACCCTGATGCTGGGAAAGATTGAAGGCAGGAAGAGAAGGGGATGACAGAGGATGATATGGTTGGATGGCATCACCGACTCAATTGGCATGAGTTTGAGTAAACTCCGGGAGTTGGTGATGGACAGGGAGGCCTGGTGTGCTGTGGTCCATGGGGTCGCAAAGAGTTAGACATGACTGAGCAACTAAACTGAACTGAACTAAAGCAAAGCCAGGTGGTGTTAGTGGTAAAGAATATGCCTGCCCATGCAGGAGACATAAAAGATGCAGGTTCGATCCATTGGTTGGGAAGATCCCTTGGAGGAGGGCATGGCAACCCACTCCAGTATTCTTGCCGGGAGAATCCCAGGGACTGAGGATCCTGGAGGGCCACAGTCCATGGGGTCACAAAGAGTTGGACATGACTGAAGCAACCTAGCACTGAAGCCAAGCCAGCATAACCTCTTAATGTAATAGAGATGAGTGTTAGAGAGCCTCTTGAGCCCAGGAGAAAGCAGCAAAGAAAGAAAAAAAGGAATGATCAGTGAAAAAGGAAAATCGAGAGACTCTGGTGACCTGGAATTCAGGTAAAGAGAGTGTATGGAGCTGTAGGGAATACCACTTGTGTCAAGTGTCCTAAAATGTGTTGACTTAGTGATGATGATTTCCACATGGCTGGATCAGTGTTAGCATCATCTTTTAAAAGTCATCATTTTCTTCCCAGTTGTTAGTGTTGGGAGCTGAAATAACATCTATTTGCCAAGCATGAGAATCCTCGTGTCTCTAACTCCAGATTCTATGCATTTTCAACTATTCCAGAGAACAAGAATCAATGCAAAAAAGCTGGTAGGATTATTAAGGACAGTTTTGCAAGATTCTTCTAAGTTGTACCAAACAGTTGAAGTTTTATTGTATAAACTGAAGATTATAAGTAATATGATAAGGTTGATATTTTAAAAGATAATTCTGGTTCAGAAATGCCTCTAGAAAGAAAAAGACCTCTTGATCTAAATAATTAGAAAAGTCCCTTAAACTTTCTTACCTTAGTAATTTTTAGGGTCATTGTTAACATTCCGTAGTTATTTTCTGCTTGTCATTTTTCTTGGCTTTTCAGTACTGCAAATTAAACGATGAAGTCTTTAGTTAGTTAAGTTACTGTTTCAACTTTATCTATAGTGGTATTTTTCACCTGTCTTTCATTTTAAAATAGGGATAAAGTCATTTAAATATTAAATAAAACTGCGCTGTTTCAGCACTGATTTTAGTGTTTGAATGACACCAGCTCAGGTTTATTGTTCTTTATTTTTTGCAATGATTAGGAATATTTGTTTTTTTTAAACTGCAACCTGATCCAATTTTTATTTTATTATTTGGCTGCACTGGGTCTTTGCTGTGGGGCTAGGGCTTTTCATTGTTGCACACGGGCTTTCTTTACTTGTGGTAGGCAGGCTTCTTTGGTGAAGCATGGGCTCTAGAGAATGAGGGCCCTCTAGTTGCAACATGCGAGCTTAGTTGGCCCATAGCATGTGGGATCTTAGTTCCCTGACCAGGGATCAAACCCGTGTCCTCTGCATTGGAAGGTGGATTCTTAACTACTGGACCACCAGGGAAGTCCCAGGAATATTTCTAAAGTTTTTTTTGATCAGATGTTTTCTATGTGACCTAAAAAATACTGTATGTGTTCAGTAGCTGTGTCGTCTTTGCTGCCATGGACTGCAGCACGCCAGGCTTCCCTGTCCTTCACCATCTCCCAGAGCTTGCTCAAATTCATATCCATTGAGTCAGTGATGCTGTCTAACCATCTCATCCTCTCCCCCCCCTTGTCCTTTTGCCTTCAGTTTTCCCCAGCATTAGGGTCTTTTCCAATGAGTTGGCTCTTTGCATGAGGTACTTGAAGTGCTGGAGCTTCAGCATCAGTCCTTCCAATGAATTTTCATGGTTGATTTCCTTTAGCATTGACTGGTTTGATCTCCTTGCAGACCAGGAGACTCTAGAGTCTTCCCCAGCACCACAATTTGAAAGCATCAGTTCTTCAGCACTCAGCCTTCTTTATGGTCCAACTCGCACATCTGTACATGACCACTGGAAAAACCATAGCTTTGTCTATGTGGATCTTTGTTGGCAAAGTGATGTCTTTGCTTTTTAGTACTTTGTCCAGGTTTGCCATAGCCTTCCTTCCAAAGGGCAAACATCTTTTAATTTCATGGCCACAGTCACTGCCCACAGTGATTTTAGAGCCTAAGAAAATAAAATCTGTCACTGCTTCCACTTTTCCCCCTCTGTTTGCCATGAAGTGATGGGACCAGATGTCATGATCTTCGTTTTTTGAATGTTGAATTTTAAGCCAGCTTTTTCACTCTCTTCTTTCACCTTCATCAAGAGGCTCTTTAGTGTCTCATTTTCTGCCATTAGAGTGGCATTATCTACATATCTGAGGTTGTTATTTCTCCTGGCAATTTTGATTCTAGCTTGTAATTAATCTAGCCCAGCATTTCACATGATCTGCTCTGCATGGAAGTTAAATAAGCAGGGTGACAATGTACAGCTTTGATGTACTTCTTTCCAGTTTTGAACCAGTGTATGTGTTGTTGCAAACATTTAGTTTTATAAACAGCTATTTTATGACTGCGTTGGAATGTAGATCTAATTATGTCCAATTTCCACAGGTATCTTCTCTTAATGGATCTTCAAGATAGAAATGAAAAGCTCTTCTATAAAGTGCTGATGTCTGACATTGAGAAATTCATGCCTATCGTTTATACTCCCACTGTGGGTCTAGCTTGCCAACAATATAGTTTAGCATTTCGGAAGCCAAGGTATGTAAAGTTTTATTTTAAATACAGTTTGTGTCTTCATTTATTTTTTGTCAAGTTTTTGTTATAATTTAAAAAATTATGTAATGAAATAGAAGTTCAGAAAAATCTAAAACTTCATTTGGGCTTCCCTGGTGACTCAGATGGTCAAGAAGCTGCCTGCAATGTGGGAGACCTGGGTTCGATCCCTGAGTTAAGATCCCATGGAGGAGGGCATGGCAGCCCATTACAGCATTCTTGCCTGGAGAATCCCCATGGATAGAGGAATGTGATGGGCTAAAGAACATTAAATATAAATATATATATGACATTTTAAAATATATAAAATATATTATATATTTAAAATATATAAAATAAAGTGTTTCATTCCTAGATTTAAGATCATGGGGAAGTTATTTTTTATAAACCAATTTATGTTTCCTTTTACAGATACTAAATGAACATTTTTGGGGTAAAAAAGGTAGTTGATTATAACTAAGCTTGTCTTTGGGATAGTAATTGCCTCTATTATGTATACATTTTGCAACTTAAAGATTTCAGATTTTCCTCAAAATAAGGAGTATTGTTGTTGTTTAGTTGCTAAATTGTGTCCTACTTCTGTAACTCCATGGACTGTAGCTCATCAGGCTCGTCTATCTGTGGGATTTCTTAGGCAAGAATACTGAAGTGGGTTGCCATTTCTTTCTCCAGCAGATCTTTCTGACCCAGGGATTGAACCCAAGTCTCCTGAATTGGCAGGCGGGTTCTTTACCTCTGATGGTAAAGACCCACCATGGAAGCCCAAGGAGTATATTATTTCCTAAGTTCAGAATTGGCATTAAACAGGCTCTTTTGTTGATTTCCTTTAAGTGAAATTGTAATCATCTTTAAAGATGCGTAAAATATAAAATGTAGTTTTTTAAAACCATGGCTTTACTTTATCATATTACTTTAAATACTTTTGCAGCAAGGAACAATTGAAATAAATATTAATGCTTTTAACAGCAACAACAACAAAAGCTCAAGTTGAATATTTATGTGCTGCTTATAGTTCTGAATTTAAAATAAAAAGAAATGTTTATAAGTTTATATCACAAATATAAAAGCCTACTGTAAGTTTTGTCATTGAAAGGAATGTTTCACAGGTAAGATCTGAAAGTTAGTAGATTTCACAAAGGTGTATTGATGTAGTGATAATAATTTGCACATTTGTGCCAATTGCCTTTTGTATAAAGAAAATAATTAGCCACATTATCCCTTATATAAAGAGAATAATCAGTTGTAGATGGTCTGTTAAATTTCCTTAATAGCACATATCTATGTTGCATTTATATAATGGCTATGTTAACAGAATTTTTTTTTTAATAGAAAAACAAGAGTTAAAATTTAGCTGGTAACTGTGTAATGATGAATAATTCTTTTTTGAGTATATAAATATTTTCTTTTTTAATTAAACAAGCAATACATGTTCACTATTGAAAAATGAGAAAATACAAATATACAAAAGAAGAAGTATTTTAAGAATACCTAATGTCATGATAACAAAAAAACTTGATACAATACTGTTTTCCTTGTAGAAGGGATCATACTATATAAACTGTTCTTTGCCTGTCAGGTTATAGGTAGGTAAGTAGATAGATAAATAAGTAGGAGGGGAGAGGGCGAGGCAGAGATGGGGCGAGACGTTGCACAGCATTTGTTTCAAAATGCTCACACGTGTTGATTTTAGGTGACATATTCATGGTATTCTATCAAATTTTCTGCAGTATTTCAAATTATTTTTTAATTTATTTTTTTATTGAACAATAATTGCTTTACAGAATTTTGTTGTTTTCTGTCAAGCCTCAACCTGAATTAGCCATAGGTACACATATATCCCCTCCCTTTTGAACCTCCCCCCATCTCCCTCCCCATCCTACCCTGTTGATACAGAGCCCTGTTTGAATTTCTTAGCCAGATTCCTGTTTTGTTATCTGTTTTACATATGGTAATGTAAGTTTCCATGTTACTCTTTTCCATACATCTTACCCTCTCCTCCCCTCTCCCCATGTCCACAAGTCTATTCTCTAAGTCTTTTTCTCCACTGCTGCCCTGTAAGTAAATTCTTCAGTACTATTTTTCTGGATTCCATGTATATGCATTAGAATACAATGTTTATCTTTTTCTTTCTGACTTGCTTCACTCTGTATAATAGGTTCTAGGTTCATCCACCTCATCAGAACTGACTCAAATGCATTTCTTTTTATGGCTGAGTAATATTCCATTATGTATATGTACCACAACTTCTTTATCCATTCATCTGTTGATGAGTATCTAGGTTGTTTCCATGTTCTAGCTACTGTAAATTGTGCTGCAGTCAACAATGGGATTACATGTGTCTTTTTCAATTTTGGTTTCCTCAGGGTAGATGCCTAGGAGTGGGATTTCTGGGTCATATGGTAGTTTTATTCCTAGTTTTTTAAGGAATCTCTATACTGTCTTCCATAGTGGCTGTATCAATTTACATTCCCACCAACAGTGCAAAAGTGTTCCCTTTTCTTCACACCCTTTCCAGCATTTATTGTTTGTAGACTTTTTGATGATTGCCATACTGACTGGTGTGAGGTGATATCTCATTGTAGTTTTGATTTGCATTTCTCTAATAATGAGAGATGCTGAGCATCTTTTCATGTGTTTGTTAGCCATCTGTATGTCTTCTTTGGAGAAATGTCTGTTTAGGTCTTTTTCCCACTTTTGTATTGAGTTGTTTGTTTTTCTGGTATTAAGTTGTTTAAGCTGCCTATATATTTTGGAAATTAATCCTTTGTCAGTTGTTTCATTTGCTATTATTTTCTCCCATTCTGAGGGTTGTCTTTCCACCTTTCTTATAGCCTCCTTTGCTGTGCAAAAGCTTTTAAGTTTAATCAGGTCCTATTTGTTTACTTTTGTTTTTATTTCCATTACTCTAGGAGGTGGGTCATAGAGGATCTTGTCCTCTATGAGTGTTCTGCCTATGTTTTCCTCCAAGAGTTTTATAATTTCTGGTCTAACATGTAGGTCTTTGATCCATTTTGAGTTTACCTTTGGATATGGTGTTAGGAAATGTTCTAATTTTATTCTTTTACATGTAGCTGTCCAGTTTTCCCAGCACCATTTATTGAAGAGGCTGTCTTTGCCCCATTGTATATTCTTGCCTCCTTTGTCAAATAAAAGGTACCTGTAGGTGAATGCGTTTATTTCTGGGCTTTCTATGTTAATCCGTTGGTCTATGTTTCTGTTTTTGTGTCAATACCATACTGTCTTGATTACTGTAGCTTTGTAGCATATTCTGAAGTCAGGAAGGTTGATTTCTCCAGCTCCATTCTTCTTTTTCAAGATTGCTTTGGCTATTTGGGGTCGTTTGTTTTTCCATATGAATTGTGAAATTCTTTGTTCTAGTTCTGTGAAAAATGTCATTAGTAATTTGATAGGGATTGGGTTGAATCTGTAGATTGCATTTGGTAGTATAGTCATTTTCACAATATTGATTCTTCCTACCCAGGAACATGGAATATCTCCCCATCTGTTTATGTCATCTTTGATTTCTTTCATTAGTGTCTTATAATTTTCTGTGTACAGTTCTTTTGTCTCCTTAGGTAAGTTTATTCCTAGATATTTAATTCTTTTTGTTGCAATGGTGAATGAGATTGATTCCTTAATTCTTTTGAGTTTTCATTGTTAGTGTATAGAAATGCAAGTGACTTCTGTGTATTGATTTTGTATCCTGCAACTGCTAAATTCACTGATTAGCTCTAGTAATTTTCTGATACTGTCTTTAGGGTTTTCTATGTAGAGTATCCTGTCATCTGCAAGCAGTGAGAGCTTTGCTGCTGCTTTTCTGATCTGGATTCCTTTTATTTCTTTATCTTCTCTGATTGCTGTTGCTAGGACTTCCAGAACTATGTTGAATAATAGTGGTGAAAGCGGACACCCTTTTCTTGTTCCTGATCTTAGGGGGAGTGCTTTCCGTCTTTCACCGTTGAGAATGATGTTTGCTGTCGGCTTATCATGTATGACTTCCCTGGTGGCTCAAACGGTAAAGTGTCTGCTTGCAATGCAGGAGACCCAGGTTCGATCCCTGGGTTGGGAAGGTCTCCTGGAGAAGGAAATGGCAACCCACTCCGGTACTCTTGCTTTCAGAATCCCATGGACAGAGGAGCCTGGTGGGCTACAGTCCATGGGGTCCCAAAGAGTCGTTCATGACTGAGCAACTTCACCTTCTTTTCTATCATATATGGCCTTTACTATGTTGAGGTAGGTTCCTTCTATGCCCATTTTTTCAAGAGTTTTAATTACACATGGGTGCTGAATTTTGTCAGAGGCTTTTTCTGCATCTGTTGAGATGATCATATGGTTTTTAACTTTCAATTTGTTATTATGGTGTATCACATTGATTGTTTTGCATATATTGAAGCATCCTTGCATCCCTGGAATAAACCCAACTTGATCATGGTGTATGAGCTTTGTGATGTGCTGCTGTATTCTATTTGTTAAAATTTTGTTGAGAATTTTTGCATCTATGTTCATCAGTAATATTGGCCTGTAGTTTTCTTTTTTTGTGTTGTCTTTGTCTTGTTTTGGTAACAGAGTGATGGTGGCCTCATAGAATGAGTTTGGAAGTGTTCCTTCCTCTGCCATTTTTTGAAAGAGTTTTAGAAGGATAGGCATTAGCTCTTCTCTGAATGTTTGATAGAATTCTGTGAAGCTATCTGGTCCTGGGCTTTTGTTTTTTGGCAGATTCTGATCATAGTTTCAGTTTCAGTGCTTATTATTGGGTTGTTCATAATTTCTGTTTCTTCCTGGTTCAGTCTTGGAAGATTGAACTTTTCTAAGAGTCTGTCCATTGCTTCTTCCAGGTTCTCCATACAGTTGTTCATGATAGTCTCTTACAATCCTTTGTATTTCTGCATTGTCTGTTGTAACCTCTCCTTTTTCATTTTCTAACTGTGTTGATTTGATTCTTTCTTTTTTTCTTAATAAGTCTGGCTAAAGGTTTCTCTATTTTG